GCCCAGCCAGTCGAGCAGAGACCCATGGGGGTTGCCGCCACAACAACCCCACACACATTCACACGTGCAGCAACACCTGCTGCTGCTGCTGCTGCTGCTGTAGTAGCAGCAGCGCGTCGGCGTAGCTGCTGCGCTGCAGCGACTGCTGCACCCAGTCCCCTGGGTGCCCGCTGCTGGCAGCTTCAATAAGCAGCAACACATTAGCAGCAGCGCAGCAGCAGCGACACAGCAGCAGCAGCAGCAGCATTGCAGTTGCAGCAGCAGCACAGCAGCAGCAGCAGCAGCAGGGGGGGAGGTTCATCCATGGCAGCAGCAGCAGCAGCAAGGGCCACCAGCAGCAAACACAGACAGAAAGACAAACAACAATAAAGCGCGCAACGATACTGCAGCACCTGCAGCAGCAGCAGCAGCATCAGCCGAAGCAGCAGCAGCAGCAGCAGCAGCAGCAACCGCAGCAGCAGGAGCAGCAGGAGCAGCAGAAGCGATCTCTGGAGGGAGGTGTTGGAGGGGGAGCTGCTGAGCCTCAGTCTGCATTTTCTTTATTTCTTTTTTTTTTATTTGTTTAAACTAATATATAAACACTGAAACAGCAGCAGCAGCAGCAGCAGCAGCAGCAACAGCAGCAGCAGCAGCAGCAGCAGCAGTGTCGGCGACGACTGTGTCTGGGTTACCTCACGCAGCAGCCTCAAACGAGCGCAGCAGCAGCAGCAGCACGCAGCAGCCCTGCAGAAGCAGCAGCAGCAGACATTGCTGCTGCTAGCTCTCGTCAAGCCTCAGCAGCAAAAGCTGCTGCTGGGGTGTACAGACACCCCAGGCTGCAGCAGCGCGCCCCGCGGTTTGCTGCTGCCCCCCTCGCAGCTTGGGGGCCTCGTGAAGGGGCCCTTGTCTAGCCCTGAAAGTCACAAGCAGCAGCAGCAGCAGCAGCAACAGCAGCAGCAGCAGCGGCAGCAGCAGCAGAAGCACGTGTATAGCAGTGTGCATCGTGTGCTCCAGCAGCAGCAGCAGCAGCAGCAGCAAAATCGAAACAGCAGCAACAGAGCCCGTAATGATCTGGGGCTCCTTGTGGCAGCAGCAGCAACAGCAGCAACAGCAGCAGCAGCAGCAACAGCAGCAGCAGCAGCAACAGCAGCAGCAGCAGCAACAGCAGCAGCAGCAATGAGTGAAGTGATAAAGAGGCGCCGTTGGTACTTCCTGCGGCACGCGCAGTCTACAAATAATAGGCGCAGCAAGCTGGACATACCAGAGCAGCAGCAGCAGCAGCAGCAGCAGCAGCAGCAGCAACAGCAGCAGCAGCAGCAGCAGCAGCAGCCGCAGCGGGGATGTGGCAGTGGTAGAATTCCTGATGCTCCGTTGACGGACCTCGGGAGGCAGCAGGCATCTGCTGCAGGTGCATGGCTGCAGCAGCAGCAGCAGCAGCAGCAGCAGCAGCAGCAGCCGCCTAATGCAGCAAACCCACGCATAGCAGCAATCGTTGCTTCGCCCATGCTGCGGGGTGTACAGACAGCTCGTGAGCTGCAGCAGCAGCTGCAGGTCCCCGTTATAATTCATCCGTTGCTGTTTGAGGCGGGGGGCCTCTTTGAGGGTGAGAGAGAAGCAGCAGGAGCTCGGACTCACGTGGCAGCAGATGCAGGAAATCTGTCCTGGGGCTGTCTTAGCTGCTGGGGTGAGTTGGCCTGCTGCAGCAGCAGCAGCAAGAGGGTCTCCAGCAGCAGCAGCAGCAGCAGCAGCAGCAGGAGTTTCTGATGGCAGCAGCAAAGCCCAGGGGCATGTATCTGACGGTTGCAGCAGCAGCAGCAGCAGCAGCAGCAGCAGTTCAGCAGCAGCAGTTGATGCTCCTCTTGGGGGAGGGTACTGCGCAGAGGGCCTCCGCAGGGGGGCCCCCTGGTGGCGGGGCCCCCGGGAGACGCTGCTGGGTACAGTAAGGCGGCTGCTGCTGCTGGTGCGGTGGATAGACAGTGTGAGTGCGCATGCTAGCTGTACATACACTGCAGCAGCAGCAGCAGCAGCAGGAGACGCAGCAGCAGCAGCAGAAGGGGACCCCCTAGCTGTCACAGGAGATGCAGCAGCAGCAGCAGCAGCAGCAGCAGCACTAAGAGGCGATGGCGCGCTGCTGCTTGTAGGTCACGGGCTGCTGATGGATTTGCTGCTGAAGGCGTTTGTTGCTGCTCCTGCTGGCGGCATTTGCTGCTGCTCTTATCTGGAGCAGCAGCAGCAGCTGCTGCTGCAGCAGCTGCAGCAGCAGCAGCAGCAGCAGCAGCAAAACGGCTGCTGCCGCACCGCAGACGCTCTCTATGTCCCCCCGCAGCAAACCGTTTATTTTCTCTCCCCCAACTGCGCTGTCTCCTGCATCGACGTCATCCTGCAGCAGCTGCAGCAGCAAAGCATATCGCCGCACAGTGGGTGTAGTCTACTGGGGCCTCCAGGCGGTA